TTAAGTATGTGAAAGTCTGTCACATGCTAGATAGATTAGACTTTTTCTTCTTGACTCCATGGGTCAAAATTAGCCCCAATGGGTGAATATTTTTAAAAGGCCAATTTAGCCCTTTTTTTGTAAGAAAAATACTACCTAACCACTAGAGCTGTCCAGAAGTTGAATGCCTTGCCTTAGGAGGTAGTGAGCTCTCCCTCAGTGGAGCTCCCCAGCAAAGGCTGCATGACTACTTGTGAAACGTATTGTTGAGAGGCATTCTTTGGGGAGTATTGGACTAGATGGTTTCTGTGGCACAGAGCTAAAATCAAGATGAAGCATCCTGGCCTTTGACCCAGGTGCAATTGAATGTAAAGAGCTCCGGATTTGCCTGGCACCTGCTTTGTCCAATATGCAGCTGGCCCTGCTTTAGGATGCCACTGTATGTTCACCAGAGTATGAGGATATCCAGGTATCTCTTCTTCCTTGTAGGCCTAGCAGGGCACCAATACCAGAGGTCAGTTCCCCAGGCACTCCCATCTAAGCAGAGACAAGAAGTAGGGAACAGAGATGGAAATGACAGGTGGCCTTTGAATCTTTCTTTAACTGTTGTGTTTGGGAGGTACTAGGTACCTGGGCACAGGGACAGGAGGGAAATGTGGGATTACTGCTTGACCAAGTGCAAAAATTCCTAGTTACGTCTCTGCAGAGGTCCCTTCCCTCTTAGCTTCTGTGATTCTTTCTAGCTCTAACATATATTCTATATTCTTAAGCCTCTTGCAGCTCTAACCTTCTAAGCCTTTCTGAATTAAGCCTTGCTTTCTCCCCTTTTACAAAGGCCAAGGCTCCTAATAAGAGTAACACTTTGAGCCCCAAGTGGGAATAAATCAAAATAAAATTATCAAAGGTGGAGTGAGGTTGTTTGGAGGGTTAAAGTAACAGGAGAACCTTGGGTTCCTAGGAAAGGAGGGGAGCTGGAAAGAGGAGAAGGGCCCAGAAAGAACAGGTGTGTGTATGGAAGACTGTCCTTACCTACTTTCCAGTTTTTACCCAGGGCTGGCCCTGTTTCTCTGCTTCTGCTAAGCTGGTTAAATGACATATTTTAACCTGAAACCTCACCTAAGATTTAGAATAAACTAGCAAGAGTGTTAGAGTCTTTGCTCACCCATCCATTAATTCTTTGACTTTAGCTTATGTCTGCCTTGGTTTTTCCACCTGTAAAATGGGAATAATAAAAGTTGCTATGGTAGCTTGGATTAAGGGTTTATGTCTGTAAAAGTGCTTTAAGATCCTTGGATGAAAGACATTGCTTTTTCTGATTTTAGCCACACCTTCAAAGTTGGCTGCCAATTTGGACTGTCCTTTATACAATTCCTTTCATCCTGAAAGGATATTCAAATATTTTACTGTTTCTGCAAACCAAGTATTCAGAGGTTGCCTCATCTCTGCCCAACTTCCCAAAGCACCTTTTAAAATCAAGGACAGTCTTCATTTCAATGTCAGGTACTGCTGAGTATTCATTTAAAAGCCAGGCTCTGCTGAAGGAGAGACTGTGAATGAAGACTAGAAATGAAGACCATTATTTCCATTCAAAAAGCTTCAATTCAACAAACACTTATGAAGCTCCTATTGTGTGCCTCCCATTTATATAGCACTTGATGGTTTAAAGGGCACCTTCCTCCAAACAAATTCTATGAGGAAGTAAGTGGTGAAAATGTTGTTATCCTCACTCTACAGATGAAGAAATGAAGCTAAGAAAGAGTAAATGGTTTGCTTCACCATCACACAGCAGGGACTCAAGCCTTATGCCTTCTACTTGGCTAGACCTCTGGTCTTGGAGTCAGGAAGATCTGAGTTTGAATCTAGCCTCAGACACTTAGGAGCTATGTGACCTGGGACAGATCATTTGTGTCTGCTTCAGTTCCCCGTGAAATGAGGATAATGGCACTTATCTCAAAGGGTTGTCGTGAGGATGAAATGAGATAATATTTGTAAGGCATTCTGCAAAGTTTAATGTGCTATAAAAATGCTAGCTATTGTTCTTATTATTATTTTAAATCCAGAGCTTTCATCATACCATACAGAAGTAGACCAAGTCATCCAGGTTGGAATTTGACCAAGATTTTAGGAATGACATCCACACAGAAATGCAAACCATGAAAAACAATCAAGAAATTTCATCATCAGTTTTGTAGAGATATGTGGATTATTTTATCTCTTTGGGAAGTTCATTTTGCTCATGCTATCCCTTCAAGGCTGGAATGGAATACATCTTTGGCCTCCTTCCCTTTTCTCCTCCTTCTCCCCTCTGCTAGCTTCTGCCTCTTGAATATTAAATCACGTATTTCAAGCTGGAAGGGTGCTTAGAGATCAATCGCTTTAAATGTTGCCTGGCACATTACTTATGTTATCCTACTCAATCCTCACAACTAACCTATAAGGTAGGAGCTATTATCTCCATTTTGCAGATGAGAAAACAGTCTGAGAGAGGTCAAGTGACTTTTCCAGTGTCCCACAAGTAGTAAATGCATGAGGAGGATTTGAATTCAGATCTTTCAGATTCCAAGTGTAACATTTTGCTAACTCTGCCTTCAAGTCCAACCCAATTCTGCTTCTTCCATTGGTGAGTTCTTTCTGCAACCACCATTTTGGGAAAAGGCCCAGGACTAGTAGGTTTCATTCCCCTTTGGGCTGAGCTTCCTGACTAGGGATAGTAACATTTACCCTACTTACTTTCTCATAGAACTTTGCCACTATGACTTAGCTGCTTTCTCACCCTGGAAGAACTTCCCTCAGCTATTACATTCTTTCTCACCGTAGAACATCTATCTGACTCTCCCTGCTTTCCTTCTTTCCATGTGCTATCTTCCCTGTTCTCTGAAGTCAGAGACTGATTTTTTGCTTGTATTTTCATCCCTGTTGGGATTTGAAGAGTTCTTGCTCCCCAAATATTTCCTTTACTGCCCTGCCAGAGTATTTGAAATTTCTAGGGCTAGACTTAATTCCTTTGGATTAAGGCATCATCTCCAAAGTACTCTGTTAAAATGTAGATATGTTATCTGGGAGGGAGGATGGTAGTATTAGCCCACAAATACCCATTATCACAGATTGGTTTATCTCCCTAAGTGTCAATTAGCAGAGACCAAAAAAGCTGTAGAAATGGTACTTCTTTAAGTGATGTCAATTGCGCAGGAGTTTCAGGTTCTAAGTTTTAGGTTCCTAACAATTTATGGCTTAGTTTTGTGGTGAGTGCCTATGAAAGGTAGAGTCATGATCTGGAATTCTGGGAGTTTTGTAGCTCAATAACAATGAGTGCTGTCCAACAATGCAACGGGCTGTCTCACTAGACAGTCTTTAAGTGGAAATTGGAAGACCACATAGGAGAGAAGATGCAGAAGGGGTTCATGTTCAGGTGAGGGTTGTACCAAATGGTCCTAACTCTATAGTCCATTTGATGGGGTTGCATGTGAGGGGAGGGACAAAGGGACAAAGGACTAATCCCTTTTCTTTTGGCATTACACTGTGAAGGAGAGAAACTCTAGCTGCTGAGTCTGAGGCATTTTGTGACACTTACTAGGTCAAATGAAAGTCCGATGTATTTTGATTCAGGGTTGGGCTGTTTGATCTCACAGAAGGGCTTTTCATCTCTCTTTGATCAAGTTTTAAGTTTTGACTAAGGTGCTGTTTGAGAGCAAGGCACCATTTATTAGTGCTCCTGTCATGTCGCATACTTCAATGCTGAATGGTTAGTTAAAATGGAAAATGCTCAAACACCCTAGTTCAGGGCTGGCCCTGGGCAATAAATTGTAAAGGTGGTTTGTCTTTGCTTCATTCTTTCCTCTTATCCCCTTTAGTGCCCATATCCTGTGCCCTGCCCCCCTCCAGCAGTCAATATTTTTATGGTACTCACTTCTTTCAGAGAATCATAGAATTCAATTCAACTCAATAAACATTTACTAAGCACCAACTGTGTGCATTGCACTCTGTTAGATTTTTGGGAATGCAAAGACAAATAACTCTAAAAATTGTTTCCTGTCTTCAAGGAATTTCTTTTTTCTCTCTTTTTTTTGGGGGTGGGGTGGGAAGTCAATACAATATGCCAACAGACAAATAAATAAAAGATAATTTTGGGAGTTACACATCTCTATGATCTAGAATGCTTAGGAAAGGCATGTAAGGCGCCTTGGAGGAAGCTAAGGATCCTAAGATACCGAGGTGATTAAGGAGTGTATTCCGGGCATGCAGAACAGCCTGTCCATAGTCACAGAGGTGATAGAGAAATGTTCCAGTTTGACTGGAACACGATCAATTTGGCCAAGTTTGGCTAGAACCCAGAAAGTATAAAGGGGAGTAACATACACTAAGCCTGAAAAGATAAGCTAGAGCCAGCTTGTGAAGGTCTTTAAATGTCAACCCAAGGCATTTGAATTTCATTCTAGAGTCAGTGGGGAGCTACTGAGGGTTCTTGCCCAGGACAATGGCCTAGTTAGATTTAGGCTTTAGGAGCAGTAGTCTGGTAGCTGGATAAAGAAAGGAGAGTCTGGGAGCAGGGAGACCTTATAAGAGTATTGGTCAGGGATTCTTATCCTTTTTGTGTGGTGGACCCCTTGGGCAGTCTCGTGAAACCCTCTCAGAATAAAGTCTTTAAATGCATTAAATGAAATACTTCAGAGGAAAACAATTATATAGAAATACAGTTAAAATTAAACACACACACACACACACACACACACACACACGTTCATAGACTCCAGATTAAGAATTTCTGCTGCAAACCAGTTCTCTAGAGCCAATTGCTAAGTTTTCAGTGAGAGCATTCACTTCTTAGAAATCAGCAAATACTGAACATCAGGGATTGATTTGTTATTTTGTTGATTGTCTAGACTTAAGAAAGTGTTGGAGAAAATGTTAATAGTGAAGATTAAACTTAAAAGTATGTCATATATGCTTTTTTTTTTTTGGCAACACGATTGTTCTATACTTACCAGCATTTACCTCATCTAATCCACCCCTTCATTTTACAGATGGGGAAACTGAAGACCAGAGAATTAAGAAAGTTCCTAACTACACACAGGTAATGAGGACAGAGCCATAACATAGTAATTTATATTTAGGGTATGCACTCGTCTACCCTTCATCACATAATACAAGCTTGGTAATACAGTCAAAATGAAGGAAAATCAGTGTGAATTAGTGGGGAAAATGAATTGTAGAATATTTTTAAAATTGTAGAATATTTTAAAAGAGGTTTTAATGCCTTCAACACATATGGTAATATGAACTATGTTAATGAAATGCTACCCAGTAGAATTCCATAGGAGTCCTACTTTAATTAATAGGATAATTAACATAAGAATGTCTCAAACCTAGGTGCCCTGACTCCAAAGAGCACTAGATTTGAGATCAGGCAGGACTAGGTTTGAGCCCTGACTCTTTTACTTGCCACCTATGTGATCTTGATCAAGTGACTTTTCCTTCTTTGGTCTTCATTTTCCTCATATGTGAAATAAGAAGGTCAGTGTGTTTGATCCAAAAGAATGCTAGGTTTGTAGTCAGAAGATAGGAGTTTGAAGTCCAGTTTGTATGAGCCTGGATTGGTTCCATCTCTAACTATCTATTAGAGGTATCCTAAGGTCTCTTCCAGCCCTGAGTCCTCTATCTACTCCTATATAAATTATGCTTTCGAAGTGTTTCATCCTCACAACACACACGTGGAGGGTTGGTAGGGTGGGTATTCCTAATTCATGGAGGAAGAAAGTGAGATTCAAAGTAGAAATTTAATGCTGAAGTTCTTCAAACCTAGGTCTTCTCAATCTAAGGTCAATGCTCAACTGACTATACCATTAATTTCTCTTTCTCTTTCTTCAGTTGTCCTTTAAGTACCTTCTGAATGTTCTAAATAAGGTCAGAGAAACCAGAGACATTACTTACATACCAGTACTGGGACTTGCTTTCAGAGTTTTTATTATTACTATTTCTTTAAAGAAACAAAAAAGAGAGGCAGTGGACAAAATTGTGTAATGGATAAAGAGCTAACCTTGGAAGACTTTAGTTCAAGACAAGCCTCTGGCTGGGTGACCCTGAACTGGCCATTTGACCTCTCAGTGCCCCAGACAACTCTTAAGGCTACTGTAAGTTGTAGAGTAGGTGCCCATCTGCACTAGTAGAGGGAGTTTCATCACAGGGAGTTTCCTATACTAATGAAATCACAGGAGTGCATAGACAAGCATATCCATAGCTTTGTTAGGACTTTAAAAAAAAAAGCATGATTTATTGTAGTTGGCACTTTTCTATGGTATCTTTAGAGGAAAAACCAGTCTTGCCAGTCGGGCCACTGGAAAATGGGCAACTCCCATGTGGTTTCAGCAGAACTCTCCTGCTCAGAGAGCTTGTGTCCAAATACTGCTTGTGGGTGGGTGGGTGATGGCATGTTGTCCCTCCCCCTCTCCTCCCTAGGCACTTCCCCATGCCTGTGTTTGACACCCTTCTACTTCAGGACACTGCTCTCCCTTGCCACTGCCCCTCCCTCGACATATTTAGGATCTTACCTTCTGTTGGAAAATGACCCAGCCATCATCATTATGGTTTCTCAGGATTCCTACACAATCCTTTCCTGGATTCAGAAAGCCTATTTGGGTCAGAGAACTTAAAATTAGAGGGCACCTATGGGATCCTCAAGTCTGGACAGTTTATTTTATAGATAAGACAACTGAGTCAGTCAGAGGGAGTGCCCTCATAAGTGGAATCACAGATCTTTGCAATAAGCTATTAAGTACTGGATAATATAAACATGTATATGCATATATATATATCCATACATGTATATGTATATATGTATATACACATCTATGTATATATATACATATATACATATGCATGTACACATATGTATATATATGGATATATAAGTATATAAGTCTCCTCAGGAAATACAGGCATACTTCAGAGATATTGAGGGTTTGGCTCTAGTTCACTGCAATAAAAGGAGTCATGTGAATTTTTTGGTTTCCTAATACACATAAAAGTTATATTTACATTATGCTGTAGTCTATTAAGTGTACAATCGCATTATATCTAAAAAATTGTATATACCTTAACTAAAAATGCTTTATTGCTTAAAAATGCTAACCATCGTCTGAGCCTTCAGTGAGTGAGTCATACATAATCTCTTTGCTGGTGAAGGTTCTGGCCTCGATGTTGATGGCTGCTGACTGAGCAGGGTGGTGGTTGCTGAAGGTTGGGGTGCCTGTGACAATTTCTTAAAGTAAGACAACAACGAAGTTTGCCACATCGATCAACTCTTCCTTTCACTCGAACTCTTATCAGCCATTATAGAGTTATTAATTTGCCTGATTTCAATATTGTTGTGTCTCAGGTAATAGGGAGGCCTGAGGAGATGGAGAGAGGTGGGCAATGGCAGGTCAGTTAATGGAGCAGTCAGAACACACACACAACATTTATCTATTAAGTTCACTGTCTTACATGGGTGTGGCTTGCGGTGCCCCAAAACAATTACAATAGTAACATCAAAGATCACTCATCACAGATCATAACAGATATAATAATAATGAAAAAGTTTGAAATATTGCAAGAATTACCAAAATGAGACACTGAAACATGATGTGAATGCACGCTGTTGGAAAAGTGGTGCTGGTAGACTTGCTTGAAGCAGGGTTGCCAAAAACCTTCAATTTGAAAAAAACAAACAGACCAAAACCCAAAATAGCCTCCTTCCTCACCCGCTTCCTTCTCCCGGTATCTGCAAAGTGCAACAAAGCCAACTACAATGCAACCAGGTGTGCCTGTAGAGGACTAAGGCAGCTAGAGGAATTGTTTCACTCTACGTTTCTGTATCTTTGGTACCTAGCACAGTGGCTTGGCATATATAGTGAACACTTACAAAATGTTTGTAGATTGACTGATTAACTTTCAAAAGATCACCTTTGCCTGAAGTAGACGATTAATGGGGGCAAGAATGATGTTTCGCGTGTATCTTAGTAATGACTTTCATTCTCACTTCTCTTTTATTCTCAGAGATGCTGCCTCTCCGTTTGCTTTTGTAAAAACAACAACAGCAAGAAACACAACTTCCATTTAGATTGTGTTGTTAATGTTCCATTGTCTGGTCATTTCACTTTCAGATGTAAACAGTGCCCCATCTCTTCACTTCCTGGACGTGGATGGTGCTTCACCCCACTTACCTCCTTCAGATGTCTAGAGCTGGATTCTAAGCCTACAAAGTAAAGGGATGAGACAGTATCTCTGCCTTTAAAGTCTGGCCTGTAATGATTAGGTTTATCCAAACCCTTGTTGTTTTTAAAGGCTGGACCCGCAAATAAAAAAGTGTGAAATGCATTTCAAACTTGCTGATGCTGATTTTCAAAGCAGGAAAATCCATGGACCATCGTATCCTCCTCCCTCCCCCTCCACCCTGCCCCTAGCGTAAGTAAATCGATTGAGAACAATAAAACCTCAGAAGTCTGAAAGCTAGGAACAAAAGGAAACTTTTATTCACGTCTTGTTGGGAGCTCTCAGAAAGGTCAGATCATTTCCCCCTCATCAAACTTCTCCATCAAAAAAATTCACTGCAGATACCCTTGTTTTTCTTGTCTAAGCTTTAGTCTGGACAGGCCTTCTCTAATGACCAGGTAAAATCGTCAAGTAATGCTAAGGCCTCCAGCTTCTCTTTTTCGGGCACTATTAGCTCTCTGTTTTTATCCAGCTTCTACAGGGCCTAGATAAATTACACTGTTTCCTTTCTCATTCTCCTTCCTCCTACCTGCTCCTCCCCAAAACAAACAAACAAACAAAGCGACCAAAACAAATAAACAAACATTTATATTAGGTGCTCTTAACCTTTTTTGTTTCATGAACCTGTTGGGGAGTCTTACAAGCCTATGGACCTTCTCAAAACAAAACAAACAAATACTGTTTATTGCTTACATTCATATTTGAAGACAATGCTAAATTTCAACTAGAGGTTGGTGAAAATAAAGATCTATTTTTTTTTCCCCATCCAAGTTCATGGACACCTTAAAATCTATCCATGGACCAGGTTAAGAACCCTTGCTGTAGACATTATCAATTAAAGAAAGATGGATGTATAGGGAAGGTGGTATGAGAGGACAAGGGGAAGCCCCATCTCTTTTCCTGGGTGATGAAGATTAGAATATTTTAGTGTTCATTATAAGCATTTACACTTCTGGGTCTTTCTTCCTTCCTTTCTTCCTTCCTTTCTTTCTTTCTTTCTTTCTTTCTTTCTTTCTTTCTTTCTTTCTTTCTTTCTTTCTTTCTTTCTTTCTTTCTTTTCCTTCTTCCCCCTATCATATACTGCTGTATAACTATGGAAGATAAGACAGGAGTTGGGATGGTGAGTTGCAAGAATTATGTATGAAGGGTTGTATGTGGTGATTTGTCTTTTGTTATTGAAGAGGACCAGGACATCAGGAAAATGTTGCCATGATTTGCAAGTGAATTGGTTTTAAGTGAGTGAGGGCTGTGCAAAGCTACCAGCCTCACTTTCTCCTCCGTAGTCACCTGGGTCTAGCAGCCAGATATAGATCAGGGTAACTGGAGATGGCCTGTCATGTAGGGTTAGAAAGGACCTGAAAGGCTGCCTATTTCAACTCCCTCATTTTATAGCTGAGGAAGCTGACAAGACTTTCTAGGTCATGTAGTAAAATCCTCTTGTTTTACATATGAGAAAACTGAGGAACAGATGGGTGAAGTGACTTTCCCAAGGTCACGTAGGTAGCAAGTATCAGAGGAAGAATTTGAACCCAGGTCCTCTGACTCCAGAATCAGTAAGTGTCAAGGGAGGAGTTAAGAAGGTGATTGGAGATACAGAATTCCTGGCCCATTGTGATGACAGGGCCTTGCCCATCATGCCCGCAGGGCACCCACCCACTAGCTGTCAAAGTCTGTAAAGATGCAGTGTGAGCTTTTTGTGGGTCTGCATTTTTTCCAGACAGCATGTTGTGGCAGAAAGAAAATAGTTCTTTTTTTTTTTAATAATAAATTATTTTTAGTTTTCAGCATTCACTTTCATGAGATTTTGAGTTTCAAATTTCTCCCCATCTCTCCTCTCCCCCCAGCCCAAGATGACATGCCATTTGATATAAACTTTACATGTACATTCATATTGAACCTCTATTCACATTGAAAAACGCAGTTCTTAAAAGTAGAAGCCCTGGCCTGGGATATTGGCTCTACTTCTTATTTGGCCTTGAGACCCCTAGGCAGATCACTTCCCTCTAAACCCCAGTTTCCACCTCTGTAAAATGAGGTGATGATACCCGACCTATCTACCACCCAGGGTGGTTGTGAGAATACCCTGTTAATGTGTGAGAAAATCCTTTGTAAGATGATTTTATTTGCTCCTTTCTACTCCTCCTAGAAGTGTAGGACCAGGAGAAATTACCCCTTTTCCCTTCCCTCAGCATTTTCATACTTGGTAAAACGAAGTTAAGACACAGGTCAGTCCTGAAGGAGAAGAGAAAGCACAGAAGGGCCACCTGGGAGGGCGAGAGTGAACAGAAGTGGTTGAAGTGGCAAGGATCCTTCCATCCCTTTGGCTTAGTGCTCAGAAGGGGTGCTCTGAATTTGTAAGTGGGGATGCTGATGACTCTTGTGGGAGGACTAGAAAGCTGGCTGGAACCTTGGAGATCACTTATTTCAGTCTTCTCTTTCAGATAAAGAAACTGAGACCCAGAGAAGGGAAATGGTTTGCCCAATGTCACACACAGTTAGTAAGAGAGCTGGGATTCAAACACAGGTTCTCTGTCTCCCAAGTCAGTGTTCCTTCAACTCTTTTTAATAAGGAAAAAGATTTTACTGATGCCATCTGTTTTTATTTCATAATCATTTCTGGATGTGGGTCCACAGACAGTGTACCAGGGTGGTAGCAGTAACAGAGAAGGGTGATCTCTTCCTCCTTCTCCCTTTCTCCCTCTCTCTCTCTCTCTCTCTCTCTCTTATCTATATATCTGTCTGTCTATCTATCTATCATAAATACAAAGTAGATGGAAATTAGCTGAAGGAAAGTTGGTAGCATCTTGGATATCTAAAAAAAACCCTTCTGTAGAAGGTGGCTTCTAGAGCTGAGTTCTAAAAGAAGTTAGGGAATGACTTGAATTGATTTGATTTCAAACTAGAAAAAACTTTTAGGAATTGGAACATAGACTATTAGTAGAAGAAGGGAGCTTAGAGATCATTTAGTCCAACCCCACTTTGGCAACTAATATCATCACTATTTAAAATAATTACCAATAATTACCAGTTCATAAAAAATGTAAAAGTTTAAATGACTAGAGAGTTGATAATTCTGATAAGCTTAACTGAATCTAGTCAATGGGTGTTTTTTGGATATCAGATCTACAAAACTGTAATGGTATAGATTTATTGCTACTGTAGGAGAGACTCTCAATCAGTTTGGTCTTCTAACTATACTTTGTTCCCTCTTCTCTTTTCCTCTTTCCTTTCCCCCCTTTCTTTCCTCTTCCATCTTCCTTCTCTCTTTCCTCTTCTTACATCCCTCTTCCTACATCCCCCTCCCCCAATGCCACCTAGAATATCTTCTCCCTTCTTTTCTCTCCAACATCCCAAATTCTACTGTTTTTTCAAGGCCTAACTCCATTCCCTTTTGACATGAAGCCTTTCTTTAATCACTCCAGAATGTACTCCACACAGCATAAAAGTCCCCTCTCCTCTTAGAGCCCCAGAATCATAGAATTGGAAGAGACTCTAGCATATGGTTGATCCTTTACCCACCCATTTCCCATGTACTCTTTATATCAGCCCAGTTGAACTCTTGCTATTTAGCAAAACCATCTCATACTTTCTCACCTCTGTGCTTTTGCCTGGAATTCCACCCCCTCTCCCGCCCACTCTCTTATACATTGGCCACATTCCATTTCATGTTTTATTTTTGTGTGTATAGGTCCCTTTGCTAAAGTCCTCCACCAATGATTCTAACTATTGCATTGTTGATGGCCCTGCATCTCAAAGGCTATGCCAGCAGAGAACAAGCTCAGGCTGGTCCCTCTCAGATGAGAAAGCTTTGAATTAAGGTGTGATGATCAGAGCAGGAATAAGTAGGGCAATTGTGACTTTGTTCTAGAATGCTGATATCTGTTGAGGAGGAGGGGCCATGCTTCCTGGACACTGTGGTGATCCGCAGACTGTTATTTGCACAGCTTGTTCCTCCTGGACTTCTGCTTCTAAGACTTCATTACCCTCACCTGCCCAAGGCTGCTCTCATCACTCTAGTTCTCGGGCAGTTGCTCTGAAACCTCTTTCCTAGGGCCTGCCTTTCTTCCCCAACCCCCACACAGCCAAACCTAAGACTCTGGGAGATGGCTATCCGCCTACTGTCGTGACTGTACCTTGGGATGGACTGTCCTTTACTCCTCTTTGATGATTCTCCTTCTGAGATATTTTTTGCTCCTAGATCCCTAGTATTAGTGCAATGCCCAGCACATAGTAGGTGCTGAACACATGCGTTTTGACTGATTGACTCTTGATGAATTAACAAAAAATATTTTCAGAACAAGAAAACTCTTCAAAGAAGGAATATTTAGCCTTACTAGAGTCGTATTCTACAGTAGTGTAGGACCTTGGGTAATCAAGCAGGTGGTGATGGCCCAGAGACAAGGATCCCTGTTTTTTGTTTTTTTAAAGGTCATCTTGTGATAAACAACAAGATTGGTTGATGTCCAGCCATTGGCCTTTAGGTTACAGAGGAAAATATTCAATCTGTAGGGAGTGGCTTAGGGTCAGAACTGTCAGTGGGATGTGGTCAATGGTCCCATGTCTGAGTCATACATTACAGCCTTGTGCTACCCATAGCTGGGCAGTGACTCAGGGAAGCAGCTGAGAGGGGGTGACTCTGGTGCTAAAAAGGACCAAGTCTTACAAGCAAGCCATAATTCTATTCCCCTCCTATCTCATCAGCAAGGCCTTATGTGGCAGTGGGAGACTGCCTTCCCACCCTACTTACAGACACATGTATCAGGCTGCATTTGGGGAACTTCTTTCACTCTTTTTGGCTCCAAGACAGGACTGGCCAGACTTGAAAACTGTATCCCCTGTGGGTTACCAGAGAGTCCCTGGAACTTGACTTTATCATGGTGACTCACATTTCGTGGTATGGTGAAAAATATACTGGCTGATAGGTTTAGAGCTAGAAGGATAGATCTTAGAGGTAGATCCTCTAATTAACTCCGTCATGATATTCATGAGGAAACTGAGGCCCAGAGTAGACAAGTGACTTAC